GTGGTACCTGAGCAGAACCAGGTGTGTGCCTGGTCTGTGGTACCTGAGCAGAACCAGGTGTGTGTCTGATCTGTGGTACCTGAGCAGAACCAGGTGTGTGCCTGGTCTGGGTACCTGAGCAGAACCAGGTGTGTGTCTGATCTGTGGTACCTGAGCAGAACCAGGTGTGTGTCTGATCTGTGGTACCTGAGCAGAACCAGGTGTGTGCCTGGTCTGGGTACCTGAGTGCCCAGAGGGAACGCGGTGCTCGCGGGCCGAGGCTCCGGCAGCACCGGGGCGCTCCCATGGCGGAGAAGCACCGGGGGCAGGTTGGACTGAGGGGACTGCGGGTTCGGGGCGGAGGGACGGGGGTCCCGGGCGGTCCCAGGCGGTCCCGGGCGCTGCGCTACTCCTGCCCCCCTCACGGCGCCGCCGCCATTTCCCTGCAGCGGCGCCTCCTCCCCGCCAGGGGGCAGCGTCGCGCCCTGCCCGCCGGCTCTGACAAGATGGCGGCGGCCGCTGCAGCCCCACAGCCGCATCCCGGCCCCGGCCCGGGCCCGCCGGCGGCCGAGGCGGAGCGCGGGGGCCCGCGCGGCGGCGGGGCGGACGGGGAGGCCGAGGCGGAGGAGTTCGGGTGCCCGGCGCACTGCTCCGACCTGGCCTGGCGGCAGAACGAGCAGCGTCGCCAGGGCCTGTACTGCGACATCACGCTGGCGTTCGGCGGCGCGGGCACGGCCCGCGAGTACCGGGCGCACCGGTCCGTCCTGGCCGCTGCCACCGAGTACTTCACGCCGCTGCTCTCGGGGGGCTTCGCGGAGTCGCGCTCGGGCCGCGTGGAGCTGCAGAAGTGGAGCTCGGAGGGCGGCCCCGACCCCGAGACGGTGGAGGCCGTTGTCGGTTTCATGTACACGGGCACCATCCGCGTGAGCCCCGGCAACGTCCACGAGGTGCTGGAGATGGCAGACAGGTGAGGGGGCCAGGGGCTGGGGCGGGGGATCGACAGGTGAGGGCGGCCGGACCGGGGCTGGGGGTGCCGAGTCACAGCATCAGTGGGTCACAGACTGGTTTGGGTTGGAAGGGACCTTAAAGCCCATCCAGTCCCACTCCCAGGGCCACCTTCCACTAGACCAGGTTGCTTCCTGGCCTTCCAGCCTGGCCTTGAACACTTAACACTTGCAGGGTAACTTGTAACAGGGTGTTCCTGTTCGTTTGTCCTGCAGGTTTCTGCTGACACGCTTGAAGGACTTCTGTGGAGAGTTTCTGAAGAAGAAACTGAACCTCTCCAATTGCGTAGCAGTTCACAGCTTGGCCCACATGTATTCCCTGAACCAGCTGGCCCTCAAAGCACAGGATATGATCAGGAGAAACTTCCACAAAGTCATCCAAGATGAGGAGTTCTACACTTTGCCATTTCACCTTGTCCGGGACTGGTTCTCGGACTCAGAGATCACAGTGGACTCTGAAGAGATCCTCTTTGAGACTGT